TATTAATAATAATAAAATAATGGATAGCAATTATAATTGAATTTTGATCTGTACATGTAATTGATTAATCTATACATTTGCAATTTAATGGTATCATGGTATCTACATGTTTTTATAACTTAATTTATTTTTAGTTAATAATAATCATAGTGAAGATAGTTTTCAATACATATAGCTGGAGTTGACTAGTTTAGCAGTTCAATTTTTTCATTTTCAAATGACTTGAATGCTTCTCATGTTTCCCTACAAATAAAGAAACACTCAATATTATTAAATCTTAATACAATAAGTCAGACAAAAAACAGTTCTAAAGATTCACCAAAAAACAAGAAATAAGAATGTTATTATAGTCACTTGCCCACGCATTTGCTGAGGAATGTTGTGAAACCACAGATATTTAATTTTAGTTTACTACGGTATGTGAGGCTGGTGAATGTGTGGCTAGCTTCAACGGAGTATTTACCACCATTATCTGAACGTAAAGTACCAACCATAAGGCCAGTCTGGTTACAAACGAGGGCTTCAAACTTTTTGATATTGTCTGGGACCATGGACTTATTTCTGATTCAATCAATGCTACAATATCTAGTGTAGTCGTCAATGAAGGACACAAAATACTTCTTCCTACCCAGTGATTCAGTAGGCATTGGCTTCAGTAGACATTGGCCTACACACATCACTGTGATTGCCTTATATCTTCCTTGGGATCTTATTTCTTTTAAGGATTGAAATGGCTATCTATGTTGCTTGCCTTGTATGTAGGGCTCACAAAAGGAGAAACCTGATTTGGCAATATTAGGAACTATCTCTCTCATTTGCTGTTCCCCTAAATCTGCATGACTTTTGTGCCACAACTCAAGTAATTTTTTTGACTTATTCTCAGATGCTATTGAAGCACACTCTTGAACTATGGGTTCACTATTTAGCACAAACAGCATTTTCTCCAGATAAACCATGCCCAAAAGATTTTCATTTTTATTTTGTATCTAGCATTTTCCTCTTCCAAATTCAAAGCTATTTCGCTTTGAAGCTGCCACCCTCACAGAATAAAGTATGCGTAAGCTTGGGTACATGTAGGACATCTTTCATAAGACATGTTTTGTGTTTACTAACCTTGAAGATCATTGTTACTCATAATTCCCCTATGCTGACTGCTTCGACAGTATGACCATCCCCTAAGCTCACTCTCTGTGGCGACTTCAGCTCATGGTAGTTGAACATCAGTTATTTCGAGTAGCTCCCAAATCGATTAAGCATCTGCTACTTGAGGAAGAATCTGGTGACCCAGTGCAGAAGACTCCATCTTCAAAAGCGTCATTTTCATTTTCTGTATTGGGTATGTCTTCCATATCTTGCTTCACATTATGCCTGGGTTTTTGGTCAGTATAAAAACGCTCTTTTTAAGTCTTTAATTAAATGTCGTATCTGGCCACAGTTATAACATTACGGTCTCGATTGCTTTCTCTTTGGACTAAGTAGATTACCACTTTTTCTCAGAAAGAGTGGCCCGTGTCCTTATTCTCAAACTTTACCACACATCACCTCAAGGATCTGTCAGTTTCCTGGGTTTTGGCACCAAACGTGGGACTTGCTTGTCTCCTCTAGGTTCTCATACTGTCAAGTCGTCTAGGTTCTTAGACTGTCGAGATGTCTTAAAGACTGTTTTAGCTGGATCAGTTGGGATTTAAAAGATTTGTCACATTACCAAACTCTTCTTCAACAAAATGTAAGCTCATTGAACAACTGGGCATGCTCACAAAATTTAATTCATTACAGCTCGATAATTGATTAGTGTCATCACTCACAGACAAGGCTCGTGAAGAAACAGGAAACTTAAAAAAATGATTGTAGCAGCACAACTCAAAATGAATGCCATAAACTAATGTTATTTACTATTCCTGGCATTTCCAATTTCTGTCTCTTCCACCTATATCAGATTTATACTTAACCTGCCAAAAACTAGATCTACAATATGTACTGGCTGGGTTGCAAATAATAGTGGCTGTATCCATTTTAGCAGACAATGAATTGAGAGATTCATTTCAAGTAAAATTAGACTAATAATTATAATTTAAATGTCTTTGCTTTATATAATATAAATGCTTCTGCATAAGTAATGTTAGATTTCTTTTCCATTAATTTAGTGAAGATATAAAAATAGAAGTTTAATCACAATCATAGTTCTGTTATCTAACT